AAGAAAAAATATTAGGACTTGTATATTGAAGCTTGACACAAAGAATAAACAAGGAAAGGTATTATCTTCAATTAAGTAATAAAGGGTGACTTACCAGGTGCTTGCTTTGCTGCTGCTGCAGGCTCTGAAGGTTGTGGTTCTGTTGTTGGTTTTGGTGTTGATTGAGTTGTTAACGGGGCTGCTGCAGGAGGAGCGGTGGGGGCTGCTTTTTACATGATAGATAGATAGATAGATAGATAGATAGATAGATAGATAGATAGATAGATAGATAGATAGATAGACAGACAGTGCAGATAGACAGACAGACAGATGATAAATAGATAGATGATAGATTAGAAATATAGATGGATGGATAGATAGATAGATAGATGATAGATAGATAGATAGATAGATAGATAGATAGATAGATAGAATGATAGATAGATGATAGATTAGATAGATAGACAGACAGACAGACAGATGATACATAGATAGATAGATAGATAGATAGATATAGATAGATAGATAGATAGATAGATACATATATGATAGATGGATAGTATAGATAGACAGAGACAGATAGATACATAGATAGATACATAGATAAATAGATAGATAGATTTTAATTAGATTAAAAACATAAAAATAACAACCACAAAGAAAAAAAGCAAGGTAAGTTGTTATCTTCAATTAAGTAATAAGGGATGACTTACCTGGTGCTTGCGTTGTTACTGGTGCACCTGCTGGTGGTTGTGTTGTTACTGGTGCACCTGCTGGTGGTTGTGTTGTCAATTTTGGTGCTGGCTCAGTTGTTAAAGGGGCTGCTGCAGGAGGAACAGTGGGGCCTGCTGAATGTTTTTTTTAAAAAAAAAATACAAACACTAAGAACACGAAGGAAAACAAGGACCCTCAAAGAAACAAAAAGGAAGGATGTTTCCCATAAGTAACTGATAAAAGATGACTTACCAGGAGGTTGGGGGCTGACTGCTGCTGTTGGTGATGGAGCTATTTAACGTTTTCGTTTCCAAGGGCATTTGGCAGAAGAAATAATACAAGAAAAATAACTATTAGGACTTGTATGTTAAAACTTGACAAAACAAAACAAGGAAGAGTGTTATCTTCAAGTAGGTCATTTAACAATAGTAATAGCACTTAGACTTATATACCACTTCACAGTGCTTTACATCTCTCTCTAAACAGTTTACAGAGTCAGCATTATGCCCATGACAATCTGGGACCTCATTTTATCCACCTCAGAAGGATGGAAGGCTAAGTAAACCTTGAGCCGATCAGGATTAAACTGCTGACAGTCGGCAGAATTAGCCTGCAATACTGGATTCTAACTACTGCGCCACCATGACTTACCCGGTACCTGCGGTGTTGTTGGAGCAACCCCTGGAGCTTGTGGTTCAGTGGTCGGTTTTGGTGCTGGTTGAGTCGTTAATGAGGCTGCCACAGGAGGAACGGTAGGACCTGCTAGATTGTTGTTTTTTTTTAAATATAGACATTCAAAAATTCAAAGAAATACAATAACTCACAAAGAAACAAAAAGAAAATATTATCTGATAAGTTTTTTTTTTTTTTTACCAGGAACTTGGGGACTGACTGCTGTTGCTGGTTGTGAAGCTGTTTGAAGTTTTCATTTCCAAGGAGATTTGCCATAAGAAATAATACAAGAAAAAAAAAAATTAGGACTTGTATATTGAAGCTCTAAATGAAAAAAATGGGGGGGGGGGGGGGAGCAGAAATAATGATACTGAAATTATATTTTGCTTTTCAATATTTCTGTATTAAGAGTGAAAAATTCAGTCAATTTGGAATGGGATAATCCCCATCCCACCTTGCATTTTAACTTCCTGTTGAGGCCATGATGGTTCTGGAGTGGACTTCTTGTCTGCAGGCTGGTCACTTACAGATTGGGGAGGAACTTTTGCATCACTCACAAAAATTGCAGAAATTGCAAGTAGTTGGAGCACGCAGAACTTATAATTTGTGTTACAAAACCTCAAACCAATAATGCCCCAATTTATTCATAAAACAGTATGTCAGGTGTGGTTTCCATCAGCCTACAAGCAATCCCATCCAGCACTACAAAATCGTGCTCCTGAAATGCGTTGGCAAATAGACAATTTAGTTGATACTATTTTAAAAAAAAGAAATGTAATTCGGAACAGACATGGTAGAAAGAAATCAATTTCAGCCTATTTCATGGCATATTTTGAATAGAGATTGAGGGTTATCAACTACTAAGATGGCTCTGGGAAAGAGCTGGTCTCTGTTTCATTCCTAAATCTCACAAAGCTCTCTTAAAGGCCACCACATAAGTGGTGTTTTAGGAGCTTTTGGAGTGAAGGTTGGTGGTGAAACATAGTAGGATTGGGAATGGTTTTCATCTCAGAAGTTACCTACTTCTATTTCACTCTTAGCCTCCTCCACAAAATAAATGAAAATGTTCTAGTAGCATCATCACGTCATCAGATGGCTTACTGGGACTCAACCCAAGGTTGACAGGCTGAACTAAGTCCCACAATTTAGCAAAC